CTTGTTTGCCCCGCGCCCGGCCCGCCGTGCGGTCGGGACAACCGGACAAACAAGGAAATATCGGGACGGTCCCGATAAAATCGGGACGTCTGGTCACCCTAAAAGGAAGTAATGTGCAGATGATCAGAAAGGCTACAAAAAATATTTCCAGTAAAAGAGTTATTGAATAGCACAAGGCAATTGTCAAGATTCTTAGAAGCAGCCAGTGAATTTAACATGATACTTTGCACTAGCTTCTTTTATCAGAGAATCTCAAAGTGCTGCATCAATATCAAGCCTCCATACGCCCTTGACCCAAATGAGTAATGTACATATTTTACACAGAGGTAAATTAAAGGTTCTTCTACACTAGAGAAAGAATGGGTGCTTACTATAGTACCTATGGTTCTTAGAGACAATTGCCTTCATGGATTCAGATTTCAGGCAATGTGTAGCTTGGGGGGCACAAATTTGAAACTTTGAACAACACTGTCCACTGATGCTGCAAGCGCACCCTGCCGATATCCTTGTACCACAACACCCAAGGACATAGTGTGACAATTCCAGCCAATCAATTCCTCCCATTAAATATCAAAAATTTATGCTAAGACTTGGAAATAATGGGGAAGAAGGGCAGGTAACACTTGGATCCATACAGGCAATCACTTTGAAGAGCTACAGTTAGTATCGTAAGCAAACAGTTTTCTTTGAGCACTGCCTGCATGAATCCCCACTGCAGGAGGTTGACAAGCAGTTCCCAGACCTAAAGGAGATGGGTTTGAGGAAGCTTACTTGAATAAAGATTGCCAGAGTTCTAGCATCTAATCTAGAGGCTAAGGGGAGTCCAGAGACTATTAACATATGAAAGCATAGACAGAGCTCCAGCCATTCAGATCTCCGCGATGGAAACAGTTTTGTAACATGCAGCAGAGACTGCTTTACACCTGGTGGAATGTATCCCAACACCTGGAATCCCAATTAGTTGTTAGCCTCTGGTGGAAATGGACTGACTTCTTGTACTAGTCTCATGAGTCACAAATACTTATGATTTTCCAGATCACACTGCAACTTAGAGCCATGTTAACAAAGAAACCATACAGCTGACCCTCTCCTGATAACGAATGGGGATTTACTTCAACCTTCCTGTTTCTCCCCTCCCCATCCCAAAAAAGAGATACCCAACTACTTTATAGAGAGATTTGGAGTACTGAGGAAGGACCAACTTTCACCATGAAAGGCTATGGATCAGCCTTTAGTTCCTGGATCTCAGGATCCTGAGCCAGCATGATCGCCACAGCCTTCCATGAGATGATGATAAAAGGAACATTCTATCAATCACTCAGTTGGCTGTTAATTTAGGAAGTACTATATTTGAGTCCTAGACCTTCCTGGAGAGGATGAAATACATGAAGCAGACCCTTTTAAAACTTAATGTAGGATGAAATAATACAGCAGACCTTTATCCCAGTGAGAGAAAGTGGTGCATTTACTAAACTGAAGGAGAGACCTAGTTGTTTGAAACTGTAGCAAGAGCATGTATGCAGAGTCTGAACAACGGAATGGAAGCCAAGGGAGGACCAGATCCTTTATGTTCGACCCAGGTCGAAAAAACTTGCTCGCTTGGCTCCAAGTGACCACCAGCACTGCTTTTTCTACTCTCTGCTGAGGCTGTCTGCCAGGATGATGGAAAGCTATGCCTGTACCACAGTGATGAATGCACCAGGTTACACAGGAGTCCCAAATGGGGACTGCTCTGCTGCCTAATACATCAATGTTGTACAGTCATTTAAAATTTGGAGAGGTGCCCTTCAAAGGGCCAGTGGGCTGCTCTCCATTCCAGGATGTTTATATAGAGATTGGTCATTTCCTGTGCCCAAAGGCTTTGGATTGTGAGCTAATCTGGGTGTGCTACTCATCATTAACATAGCAGACAGTGGAGATGGCATGAAAGGGACGGAATGCCCTTGAGAACATGTTCTGTTTCATCCTCCCATAACAGGGAGAGTACCACCATGTAAATGTCAGACCCGGTCACCTAGACGAGACCAGTTCAGGGTTGGTTGGAAACAGTGCAATGGTCTCAGAGTTTTGCCAGAGAAGTGAAAAACTGTAAAAGACTAACAGTAATAAAACTATGTCTAGATGTTTTTAAACAGCAATATATACAAAACTACACTTTCCTGAAAATGACTGATGGGAAAGTGATGGACACTGCTGAAAAAGATGTTACTTACCAGGAGATGTTATTTGAGCCCCTTGGTGTCTAGCCGTAGAACTGTCTTGAAAAGCCATGTGTTAAGGGAGACATGGAAGATCTTGCACTAGAGTGATGGCATCACCCTACTTTAAGGAAAGGAGAGCACTCCCCTATGGCCTCATTTCCTTCTCCCTAGTCATAGAGCCCTGACGGTCTCCGGACAGAACTCTTAGGTGGTTGGGAAGGTGGGCGGGTAGCATGAATATGCAGAGGTAACTCATGAATAACTAACTACAAGCAAGTCAACTTTTTCTTTGAAGACTTGTATGCATTCCCTCTTGTGGAAGATTAACAAGCAGTGTGGTTTCAGGACGACAGTGGGTGAGGTGTTCTTAACTAAATAAGGACCCGTAGCCCTGTCCCCCCCATCTGGGTGCAATGCTAAATTGAGGGAGGTTGTCTGGTGAAAGTGTGCAACAAACTCAAAGCTGCTGAATTGCATTGCATATCCCCACCTGCTTAAGCCACTGATGCTGAAGTGGCTCTTGTTGAGTGGCTTTCATGGAACAGATCTTTGAACCAAAGGGCCATGGTTTCCTATCTAAGATGTAACAATACTGTATTCAGCTCCTAGATCAGTGTGACAGTGTTTAGTGTTTAGGAGGCTTCTGGGTACACGTCTGGCTCTGTTGATTTGTTTCTTTATTTCCTTGTGTGGGTATCGTAGTTTTGAGAATGCTTGGTGAAGATCTTGTAGGTGTTGGTCTCTGTCTGAGGGGTTGGAGCAGGTGCTTGGCTGTAGACGATGGATCGTGTGGTGTGACCGGGGTGGAAGCTGGAGGCATGAAGGTAGGCGTAGCGGTCGGTGGGTTTTCGGTATAGGGTGGTGGTAATGTGGCCATCGCTTAT